TTTATTTTTTTTTATGTGTGTGTGTGTGCATTTAATGCATAAGCATTGTCATAATTTTGTAATTTCTAATAAATTTAAATGCCCTACATGTAAAATAACATAGACATATATTAATATTATATKTCTATGTAAAATAACGTTTAAATTTTTGATAAGCAATAAAAAGGTTATTTTTCAAGTTGTACATGAACATTTTCAAACTGTGCCAGTGGTACAYAGATAAATAAAAAGGTTAAGAACCGCTCATGTAATACATAATAATATAGTTTGATAGTATAACCTTATTCAATTACAACTATTTTGGTAGTTTATATATTTATTCGTTTTGCATATTTTGGATATCTACTGCAATATATTTATATATTTTTTTTTTTGGTACATAATGATTGTGCGCTTCTATAAAAATGTTTTCAGAGCATGCAGTTCCGCTTGTAATTACCCTTTTTTAACAATCATATTTATGTWTTTTGGCTGAATACACCACGATCTAATGTTTCCGATCAATTTTTCGTAAGATTTTCGTTGTTATGATTAAACTTGCTAACAAAAACATTTCTTGTAGAGAAAAAGTATCAATTAGTGCGCTGAGGTTTTTTTAGTACAAGTTGTGACTATGAACTTTGTACAAGACATTGGACATTTGTTGCAGGGTTTTAATGTTTTAAACAGTAAATGCCAACCCACAACGATGCGTTATATTACGTATTTGTTTCCAAACACGCGTTTAAATATTAATCAATACTACAATTATCTAGTATATTACCGTGGTCGAAACAATTACATTTTAAGGACGCACAAACTTACTTTAATTCGGCCACACGACCGACGAGTTTGTCTTTTAACTGAGCGGCCCGAGCCTGTCGTGTCCGATGTTTTTCCTCTTCGGCCAATCGATCGGCCGCGGACCGTTCTTCGGTCAACCGCTGCTCATGTTCCGACCGTTCTCGCCGTTTTTGGTCCGCCGACTTTTTCTCCTTCATCCGGTCGTCCCATGAAGACTCTGAAGACCGCTCCCGTTCTCGCATTTCGTACTGCCAAAGCAAACGATAATACCATGTAAATCGATTTGAGGAAGTATTTAACACACAATATATATATCTAATTATTTTTTTTAACTCGGGCTGTTTGGTTTTAGCTTGAAAACTTGAAAACTGTAAACATACGAACCGATCTGAATATTCGAAAATCATACCAATAAAAATCAAAATTCATATAGATTGAATTCRGCGAGAATGATAAACAAATTTTACTAAAATTATTGTTTGAGTAATGAATATAAGATTTTTTTGTACTTTTTGTTATCATTAAACGGAAGTTATACTTTTAAAGTTTATAGAATTACTTGAAAGTTTATTTTTGTGTTTGATATAAAGTTTAAATAAAAAAGTACGCAAATTCTGTTTGGAGTTTATTATCGCAATGAATGAAATAATACCGATCGAGATCGATGTGTAAGTTTTTTAGGACCAAGTCATTATACATTTTTTASGTGGAAATGAATAATGAGGACGATCTTGCAATAGGTACCGAATGAAACATTGTCCAAGTCACGCCACTTTTAAGGCTTCAACACATATATTATATACCTACTTGCTACATGCAAGTCGTGACGAGAACTAAGAAGAATAAAATAAATACTGGAAATACTGTATAAATATAATTAAATTAATGACTAATGAATGAGTGATGCACTCACTTGTTTGGCCTGTTTAGGGTCGCRCGATTTGGTTCGCACGTGAAGTCTCAACTCAATCTCCCTGTCCGTGACTGCGTCGTGTTTGCGTTTCAATTCCATTGCCATTTCTTCGCAGGGCGGTTTTTGCCCGGCTGAATTAGGCCTAGACAGTGGTACGGGTTTCTTTTTCATTTGCCCTTTCTTTCTCGGCGTGAAAAAAATGGAATACCAATCAATTAATAACCACATTTTATGTATTATAAATCACTAAATATTCGATAACATAGCTCTCAAAATCATGTAGGTATTAGTAATTATAATTTATGAAAACCTTAAATTCTTCGTCCTCGATCTGTCTGTCCTGTAATTTTTTGCGCCACTTCTGCAATTCTTCTTGTTCTTCCTCGAGTTTTCGCTGTTCTCGTCTTCGCATTTCCAATTGTAGCTCAGAACTGAAGCGAAAGCGTGAGGAAAAGAAATAAGATATTTTATTAGAAATTTAACATTATATTCATAGAGCTTAGATGGAGCAAAAAACTGAATTACCTCCCCAACCCCTAGGGACATTTTTGGTTGCTGCGCCAGTACTCACCTTTTTTTGTAGTACTGCGGAGAAGTCCAACTGGTGAACTTGTTCGAGTTRTTCTCCCACGTCTTGAAGTATTGTGTCACGCCAGCCCATTGCTCTCTGGCTTCGCACTCGGCCGCGCGCTTTTTATGCAACGCTTCGTATACCCTTGCTGGATTCGGCCGACGATTGTTGCTGCAGCTCTTTTGACTCATGTTTTAAGATTACTTTCAGATCTCGCTTCACCCAAATCTGTCAATGGCRCCACACTGTATGCACAAAAATAGCAATTCGACAGTTTTATCAAGGCCAAACGAAACGATATATCACCCGATACCTGTATTAATCAAGCAGGTAGCTATGATAATAGTGATGGTTACTTTAAGGCACAAACTATTAAAGTCATCTTTACTCACAATACACGACAATCGTACAACTGAAGATACAATAATATTACATAGCCAATACAATATAACCTAACTACAATAATACAATATACATAATAGGACAATAGCTATTGCCGTTGCTAGGGCCTAACACCCCAAGTCACCCTTAATAAGTAAATAGTTTATACAAAAAAAAAAATGCTTTCACCTATCAATATGTACCTATTGATTTTTTTTTTGATAATTTGTTTAATTTTTTTCAGACAGAATATCTTTGATTCCACATATTATTCACACAATCACACAATCAATATAATATCATACAATTATAAACAAAATTGTCAATATTGTCAACAGGTGTTATGTATTTAATAGTAAATTTTCATCATTTTCCACAAAATATCAATTAATATAAATTATCTACTACTTAAAATAATATGATAATTTAAGTTTTCACTTTTTTTCTAGTTCACATTTCTGAATCATTATGTTTGTTTTCAGTACCTACTGTAACYCGTTGCCATGACATTCAAATTAAATTCCAAAAAGGAATTCTTCATTCCTTGAGTACATAAACGGTATCTATTGTTATACCGTTTACTGGATAAATAAAGCATTCAAAATATTGTATCACTGTTGCTATGGACTATCAATCTTAATATTAGTTAGCTGAACATTTAAACATTTAATTTCAACATAAAAAATATCAAATTAATAGGAACCATATAAGAATTTTTACTTACTAGAATTATTAATATCTATAACAGCTGCAACTAGGCACAATTTAACACCAACAAAAACTTATAAATATGTTATATTGTTAGTTAACATATCVACAATTTTGAATTATGAAGTGTTAAATAACAACTGCAACTTAACTAAAAAACAATAATAAAAATTCTTAAACAAGTCACATATCATAAGTTAAATAACTATTCATTAGATAACATAGAAAAACACTAATAACGGATAAAGTGAAAAATTAATTACTAGGTATTAGTTTCAATTAAAAACTGAAAAATGTATACTAATAAAATAGGTAATAAGTAAAAAATTAAAACCAAATTCAGTCGTTAGTCGTTACAAACAACGTTATCAATATTTAAAAAATGACAAGAAATTTCTTATCTATTATCTGGAATAAAGGGACAACGAACCTAACCTACAAAAAAGTTACTCAAAAACATAATAATATAATATAGATCGGTATTCAGCGGTTCTCAACCTTTTTATATTCGCGTACTACATGTCTACATACACAGTTTGAAAATTTTCATGTACCACATGACCAAATAACGTTTTTTTCGCTTATATAAAAATGTAGAAGTTATTTACATGACGTRTAGAATTATAATTTATTAGGAACTACAAAATGATGATAATATTATAATTATTTAATGTRAAAAAGAAAATGGGATATTGTGGACGATTAGGTAGGTATATATTATTATTAACATCGATTAACCCAAATAATAGTTTACGCAAATAACTATTAACATTGTTCCATTTTATTTATTTTTTATGAAGGGAGATATTCTTAGAGAACCACCAGAGAGCATTCCGTATACCACGGTCCACGGGTTGAGAAATGCTGATATAGATAACAACAATACGAATAGAAGATATTCTCCACCACCACCATGACTAAATTATAATTATAAAGTCATGTTCATGTACATATTTTTAATTTCTTTTCAATGGACATGTTCTTCACTACATTGTTTATGATATCAATYCACCTAGGATAATAACAATTAATTTAAACCATGAAAAATAATTACAGAATAATTCATTTACTATATTATTTTCTTCAAGACTCAAAATCTAATATTTAATACAGCCATTTAGTACCTGATGCAGTTATAGRTACATAATTCATAAATACCTACATTATTATATTATTTCATATAGTTTATGATTAAATTTTAAATTCTGATAGTACCTTACCTATACATACTATTTATAAAAGTCACTCCGATCGTGCAGACCGCAGATGGCAGACTCGCCGAGTGCAGACACAATAATATGTAACGTTACAACGCAATAATTTGTATTTTTTTTTTTTATTAATGAATACCATCGGCAACATGGGCCATTGGGTTTAACGTGAGAAATTATTAATATAAAGGGGGAAAAAAATTACATGAATTGTATCTATATCTAAATTAAACTAAATTTTGGTAAGAAGATTGGCGGCTGTGATGAATTGTATGATATTGGTAATGGATTGATGATTGTTGTTCAATATTTCTGAAAGTGATGATTCGGGTAGGAATAATTTGTATTATTATCAGCACAATGCTGATTATTTTTTTTTTTGTAATTTGTATACATACACAATTTTTTCATCTGTGAGTAGTGTGAGTCATACAATAACATATAGTAAATTAACGTATCGTGTTATACTGTTGTATGCTTATACGAACGATAAAAATCTCATCACATTTATATGATTTTTATATCGAAAGTTGCCGGCCTCGAGGCTCGAATACTTACATACACAACAACTTTAATTTGATACCAATTATATCGAGTAATGCTGAAGCTAAGTCGCGGTATCGCTGAGAAATAATATTACGATGGTGGTAGCATAACGTTATGAGACGCCTAGACGAGTTTTTTAATATCGAATGACTAATATTTAAAATAGAAGAAAAACTCATCAGGTCTTATATAATTATTGTTTTTATCATTAACTAGTAATTAGGTACTAATACGGGAATTTGAATATTCAACGTAATAATAATCATTAATTATTATATTATACCAAAACTGGCAACAACCACCTAGACA